AGCCCCCCCTGGCCCCGGCCCCCCCCCCCCCCCCCGCCAGCCAATCCACGGCGGGGAAGGCGAAGCCACTCCCCTTCCCCAGAATCAAGTTGTCAATGAAATCCCCCCCCCCAAAGTACCGCAACCCCGCAAGCCTTAAAGGGCCACGCGCCTCAGAGTCCGCAGCTGACATCTCTCAGCCTCTTTGGAAAGGGGATTTTTTTTTTGGAAGGGGGGTTGTGGCACAGCCTGTCCTGGTGTCCCCAGCTGGCAAACTCGCTCTGCTGGCAAAATGGATCCGTTCCAGGATCAGGGCCAGGCTCCCGGCTCCAAGTGGTGCCGAGCTCTGCTGCGCTGCCAAGAGTTGCAGGGCAAGGAGCCAAGGCAGGGAGAGCAGCTGGGTAGGGCTCTGAACTGCCTGGGGCAGCCTCCGCTGCCTGGCTCCAGCAGCTGCTTTGCTTGCGGGTTTTGCTTTGGTCCTCATTGCTTTGCAGCAGCTCTGAGGCTGGCATTGGGGGGAGGGTGGGGGGGGACAGGGGCCCCTCCCTTTGACTCACAGTTATTGCAGCAGGTGTCACTTGCTCGGGTTTGGCTAGAATCCAGACAGAGCAGGAGCCACCACATCCCTGCTTGCAGGGTGTGGGGGGAGAGAAATAGGCATTGTGCAAGGGAAGAGAGCTCATTTCCTGCCTCCCCTCGCCCATGACGGAGGGCTGAATCAGTGCCACTCACCCCCTGGCTCTCTCCTTTCCTGGGCGGGTTTCCTGCGGCTGCTTCCCGAACACCCTGCAGAGAGAATCGGTCCAGGTCCCTGAGCTCCATGAGCTGAGTGGAGCTCCCAGCTCAGAGGATGCTCTTGCCTGTATGGCACCTGCCCAAGTTGCCTCCCTTGTTAACCATCTAGTCCACAGCTAGGGGCCCCAAGCTGTGCTGGAGATGACATGACACCCTGGAGCCCCCTGCCATCGGCACCCTGCCCACAGTCCCCTGGGCAGGCAATGCTGTTATCGCCCTTTTCCAAAGAGTTGAAGCTCAGAGAGATGGACCCACTTGTCCAAGGTCACGCAGGGTCTGCAGCAGAGCAGGGCCTTCAGTGGGGGTTGCCCGTGTGCTGTGATGGCACCGAAGCCAGTGCCTGTAGGCAACTGCATCAGCAGAGCTGCTACTGACTGGGTCTCAGTAACTGAGGCAGGGCAAGGCTCAGAAAAGACCCTCACCTCGGGGAGCAGGAAAAGGCAGCTGAGAAGACACGAGAAGTAGCAAAGCATGAGTCAAGCTAGCGCTGACCCAAGGCTGGAAGAAACTGGCACCTTCCTACTCAGCAGCTCTGTTCTCCCGTCTATTTGCAAACATGTGCCGACTTCAGTGACACACAGGAGGGGTTGCACCTCCTCCTGCTGTTATCCTTGCCGAGCCAGCATAGCTAGGAGGGAGGGAGGAAGCTGGAGTCTATTCCCATCCGCGCGAGTCGGAAAGATTCTGCCTTGGAGCACCCTCGTGCAAGACAGACAGACAGGCCCAAAGGCTAAAACTGGCCTGCAAACCATTTTCTGTGAGGCTGTCTCAGCAACAGGGCACTTCACGAGGCTCAGATCCTGGTGGGGACTTGCAGGACGGGCAATGAAAGACCACCACTATTTTGCAGTGAGGCTGAGTGATGGTGACCTGGGGCGGTCAAGACACAAACTGATCTCCTGTAGAACAGCATTCAACAACTGCATGAGGCCAATGGCAGTCAGGATACAAGAAGTGACAGGGTTTTTTTCCCCCTTCCGTCGCCACCCATTTCTGATAGTAAAAATGCAGATTCCAGGCAGGAAAAATGAAAGGAGACAGGCTGATGCCAGGATTTCCCAACAGGGGTGTGATATAAGCCCCTGATTAGAACAGCAAATGAGAATCGGAGGGAGCTGGCCAGGCCAGGGAGCCGGAAGCAAGTTCAAAGAGGTGACAGCCAGGTTGACTCATTTGCTGACGGAGCAGTAAAGAAAGTGAAAGTCCTGTCCTTCCACTCAGGCACTGGCTGCAAAAATAAATTCTTTGCTGACTTGTCAACTGTTTGAGCAAATGGCCAGTGCCTTCTACCAGCACTTGTGCTTTTAACTATACCACTACTATTCAAGATGTGGGGGGACGTGGGCACACTAGAAAGAAGCAACAGGCTACAATCAGACCTAGACAGGTTACAAGGGTGGGCGGATGAGAATAGGATGGG